ATGCTTTTGTTTAAGGATGTGTGTTCCTGCTGCCATGCCTGCTGCCTGTAGGCATGCCTCTCTGCCATGAGAGACTTGTATTCATCTAGAACTGTTATCCAAAATAAGCCTCTCCTTCTGTAAGCTGCCTTGTTCATGGTGTTTTATCACAGCAGTAAAAGAATAACGAATTCATGAGCTGTATGTGATTTAGAAGTTTGTAATCCTATACCTCAAAATGTAAAACAAACAAAAAAGGTAAAATTTACTTTAATATATTTATTTGACCCAACACATACAAAATATTGTCGGTTTGGAATGCAATCAGTACTAAAAATTGCTAATGAAATATTTCCATCTTCGTTTCTTTCTACATTTTTTAATTCATATCTCAATGTATATTGGCCATGAATGCTACAATGTTAACCTTGTAGACAAGATGTGTCCACAGATGCAGAAGTGGCATGAATGTTACTAGGTAGCCAACCACTTCCTGATTGGATCTAAGGCCACCCCATAGGAGCGAATTCATGCCTGTTACTATAAACCTGGTAAAAAGCCCAAGGCTGGGGATATCATAAGCCCTGAGGGAACCTACTACTTTATTTCACTAAATGATCATTTTGTCACGCCACCTTCTAAAGGTCTGTATTTGTACCCACCAGTCTGAGCTTGTCCCAACCTTGGTCAGAGAAGTTTCCTTTTGCAGTGAGTGGCAGTCAATACAGAGACTCATAACTGTGCACAGTGCTGAGATGAAGTGACACGGATGCTCAGCTCTAATGGGACTCTATCAACACCTCCAATAGGTTCAAGGAAAGGAAGAGGCGGTTGGTGAAATGTAAGATAGAGAGCAGGGAAGGGTGTGTTAGATGCTACCTTTGCACATGATGTGGCTGTTACACTCATAACAGTTGCACAGAACCCAAGTAAGACCAAGCTGACAAGACCTGTCAGATTTCCAGCAGTCAACACTAATTGAGTTCAGTGGATTATAGTAAGGTAGGAGAGGACATGTGTACCAACCCGTTCCGCCCCATGTTTGGCGGCCACTCTGTACCAGCCTGAGCTGCTGCTCCAGTCCTCGGGTGAGGGTCTAGCAAGAGAGAGAGTGGGGATGGAGGGGCGAGAGACGCAAAGAATGGAGACAAGACAGAGGGTCTGATCAAGTCTCCCTTTATTGAAAGGAAATCCTGCGTATTTATATGCTTTACCACGTGTCTTGCCCTCGTGGACAAGCAGGGGAACACAGCTGAAGGCGCTATGCCATGTGCCTTGTAGCCATGGATACCACATGTGCCTTCCAGCTGGGGGCATTAAACAGCAAAACAAGATATATGAGAAAAACAAGATGTTTATCAGAGTGTGCTCAGCTGTTGTGGGCTGTTGAAAACAAGTCTCTTGTCAGGGTATATGGCTCAAGATGGCTGCAAAGATGATAGCCGCTTTCTGCTAGGAGCCAGCTCCTAACAGACATGACTGTAGGAGGAGAACTTACCAGATAGAGTTGGGATTGGAGGTGATAAGGAAGACTTGGGGGTGGATAGGATCGAGAATTATTGTATATGTGTATGAAATTGTCAAAAGATATATACAACACACTCTTTTTCAAAAGACAACTATTGGTAGTTCTTCATGTTGATAAATAATGTATTTATAATGACTTTGCATAAAGAAACCTGTTTCTCACTTACTTTATTGAAACAAAGTCTTATTGTGTAGCTCAAACTAGCCTAGAACTCATTCTGTAATCTACTCTGGCATCACGCTTGTAGTGATCCTCCTGCCTTATCCTCCTCAGTGCTGGGAATACATATATGAGCCACTCTGCCTGCCTAGAATCCCTGTGTTTAAAACAAACAAACAAACAAATGAACAAACAAACCCAAAAACCCTTTCTACGTGGACAAATCAGAAATACTTGCACTTTAAATTTTTTTAAAGCTAGGGCATCATGGAGTCCATTCTGGCTTCAAACTTGCTTTGTAGCCCAGGATTGCTTTGAGTTCCTGATCATCCTGCTTACAGTTTCCAAGTGCTAGGGTCCAAATGTGAGCCACTGTGCCCAAACAGAATCTATATTCTTGCCCACTCACTGTTTTGTGGCTGAGCCATGGAGTTCAGAAGTAAAATGAAGAAACAAATCTAACAAGTTATCTATTCAAATTACGAGAGAATTTCGAAGTGGTAGCACAGAGGACACAGAAGAAAACAGACCTCGAGGACATTGTGCTAAACGTAACACAGCTGCCCCAACACAACCCATCTCAAGCAAGCAACTTTGTACAGAGAGAACTGGCGGCTAGCAGAGGAAAGAGGAAGCTGTGTATAAAGTTTATAAGGTGGAAAGGCTATACAGATCTGTGCAACTGTGTGCCTCTAGTTAATAATACAGCTTACATATGAATATTTAAGAGTTTAGCTGTCATGTTACAAATGTACTGCTCACTTTTATTTTAGATGTGGGAAGAGGGGGAAGAAGGGGTGAAGGATGAGGAAAAAACAGAGAAGGAAGTAAAAGAAACTCCGATAGTTTAAAGGAAGCAGCTTCAAGGTTGGCCTGTGTGATGCTCCAGACCTCTGTCAAGGTATGGAAGGACTAGGATGTCGAAGGCCATTGTGAGAGGTGCAGTTCTGGGCTAGAAGTCAGATCCCCATCCATATTCTTTGAAAGACCTGAATTAAAAATCGAATTTGTCTTAATATCTGGGGAAGATGAGTCTTATTTCTTCTTTAACTGTGACTATTGATAGAATAAGCTGCAAATCGTCAGGGATTTAAATTGCATAAAATATTATGCCCTATTATGTCCTCCCTAGATGTGATACAGAAAAGAAAAACATCAAGCGCTCAGTTGAGTGGTGCAGGCTGTAAATGCCTCTTAACCATGACTGTGACTTTGGACAGATACTTGGGACTCTATTTGTCAACTGTAACACAGAGGCCATAATATCAACTCTATAAGCTCTTAGGCATACTGACTAATGATATTATCAACTCACATGATCACACCTATAGATAATCTATATACTAATCATTATTCTTTTTTGAATGCACACACACCATGGTGTCTGTTAGGGTTGCAAGATGCCAGACCTCAGAAATCATTCTGCTTAAAAGTAAGTTTATACAGCCATATTAACTGCTTTTCAAATATAGAAATTGTAGATGGCTCAAAGCCTCTAAAAGTTCATGTGCCAATTAAAATTCCAATCAGATCAATAAAAATTATGAAAAACTAGCAACATCCAGTTACTAGTCTCAGGAATATGGAAAAACACTACCTCTGTAGACTGCTAAAGGCAGGGCGAAACATCAAAGCTCATGCAGAGAATTTGACAAGATCTATCAGAATTTTAAATGAACATTTCCTTTTGCTGATGAGTTTATTTCTGGTAATCAAGCTCCCAAATAGTCTGCCATATGCAGAAATGTTGCATGCATAAAAGAATTTATTGCATCATAGTTTCTAAGGTCAAAAAACCTGTAAACAATATACCAGTCAAAATGAAACTGACCAAATAATAAAGGGCACACATCCACACGGTGGGCTCTGCAGCCCTGTGTAGGCTGCAGTAGGAAATATCTCCAAAGACAGTCAAGATGCTGTGTGTGGGCACTAAGTTAGCATTTGATGGAAGGTTAAGGTGTATAGTACCTGTGCATGTGTTTGAAAATGCAGAGGTTGGGCTGGAGAGATGGCTCAGCGGTTAAGAGCACTGACTGCTCTTCCAGAGGTCCTGAGTTCAAATCCCAGCAACCACATGGTGGCTCATAACCATCCGTAATGAGATTGGATGCCCTCTTCTGGTGTATCCGAAGACAGCGACAGTGTACTAATAAAATAAATAAATAAATAAATAAATAAATCTTTAAAAAAAAAAAAGAAAATGCAGAGGCTATCTCTTTAAGGATTCAACAGAGTAAATAAATAATAAAATAAATAAGTAAACTGTGCAGATGGGAAACCAGGGTAGCTCATGGAATCTATATACTAATCTATATACTATAAGTACACACTCTTCCTCACAGTCCTAGGTTTGCTTCTGTTGCTGTGTTAAAATACCCTAACTAAAAGCTACTTGGGGGAGAAAGGGCTTACTTTAGTGAACAGTTCCAGATTACAGTCTATCATTGTGGGGAAGTAAAGGGGGCAGGAATTTAAAACAGTAACACCAGTTAAGAGCAGAGAGAATGAGTGCATACATATCAGTGTTTGCTAAGCCGCCTCTCTACACTTACACAGCCCAAGAACCAAGCAGAGTGAATGGTGCCACCCACAGTGGGCTGGTTCTTCCCATTTCTATAGAATCAAGACAATTAATTATACACAGACATGCCCACAAGCCAACCTGGTCTAGACAGTTCTTCATTGAGACTCTGCTGAGGTGATTTGACATTGTGTCAAGTTGACAATTAAAACTGGCCATCAAACTCACTGTCGATTTATATTTTGTACCCAGAATATGAATATATATTCAATATAATAATACTTTAAAGAAGAAAATGCAATGAAGGAGAAATAAAATTGGAGTTAGAAACATTGGTTCACTGCCTAGATGATCTCAAGTGAGTGGCTTTTCCTCACTAGTTTGTTTCCTTGGAGAGAGGGGGGTCTACGTAATAACACTGAGACAGCCATTAAGATATGATGATGAGATGCTTACAGGTAACATAATGAGTTTTCATGTCTGTCTTTCTATGGAGGAAGTATTGGGAAATTTAGCTGTTCTTATATTAAGGGCATTGCCTGGATAGGAAACTTACTTTTTGGATGGATTTCACAAAGGGCCTTTAATTTTTTTTTGGTTTTTTTTGTTTTTTTTTTGTTTTTGTTTTTGTTTATTTTTGTTTTTCGAGACAGGGTTTCTCTGTGTAGTCCTGGCTGTTCTGGAACTCACTTTGTAGACCAGGCTGGCCTGGAACTCAGAAATCTGCCTGCCTCTGCCTCTCAAGTGCTGGGATTACAGGCATGCGCCACCACTGCCTGGCTGGCCTTTAACATTTAAGAACCGTGTCCCTGCCCTGTCAATGGGCAAAGAAACACCTTGTTGGTAGTGTTCTTACATCAGTCAGGAGCAGAACAGATGGCAGTCCAGTGTTCGTCCTAGCTTAATGCCTGGCTTGTGGCCAAAGCTGTTTTATGCCTAAGACTCATAAAAATCAAATCAAATCCAGGCAGCACAGTGTGGGAGGAGGAAGTCAGAGACCTGCAGACCAGCATGCCACCCACCGATTTGCCCTACTGCCCATGGCACATGCAGGCCGTCGTCACCTGCTTGCTGCCACGCCAAGCACTATGGACAGAGGATATCACCCAGGTGCCCGCCAGTCATGTGACCAGCCTGAAGTGGGAGTCACCACAATGTGCGAGTATGTGGTGGACAGATGAGTGAGAGAGAAGTGGAGCAGCTTGAACATTAAGAAGAGAGATGGAACTGGAGACTCGGGATGGAGAGGAGGAGCCTGTTGTGAGTGGGCGGACCCACTACCTGGAGCCTTGGTGAAGTCTCAGCCCGAGCTGCCATTGAGGGCCGTGTCTGGGTCTATGACTACACAGCAGCAGGGGTTGGTGTTGATGTCCAAGGCTCATATTACAACTAAAGAACATGAGGATGTCCCTAGTGGGGGCAGTCTCCAGGGACCACATGGATGTCCATGGGTGGGGCCTGTTTTCCACAGTCCCTCACTGGCTACAGAGCTCTGGAAAGCTCTACACCTCCCACCAGTCCCTGCCTTTCATCTGGCACGAAATGTCATGGAAAGGTGTTGATGGCCTCCCCTCCTTGCACCTTACCGCCTGCAAGAGAAATAGCTGGTCCCGGGCTGGTGAAAGCAGGTGAGCGAGCCTTGTCCCTCGCTGGCTGCAGCACTCAGCAGAGCTGGCCCAAGTGTGTGGGCAAGGGAGCGCTGGCCCTGCTACTCCTCTGCTGTGAGATGCTCTGACTACTGGAGGGAAGAGAGACGCCTTCTGCCACTTCGTCCCACATCACTGGAGGCAGTTGGGGAAGCTGACTCTGGGGTCATTGGAAGGAGTGAGTTAGCCCTGCCCCTCATTGGCTGTAGCACTTGGCAGAGCAGGTCCTGCACCTTGCCTGGGCAGCACAGTAGGGTTAGCCCTGGTAGAGAGGCCATTCATAAGCCATCCTCAAGGGTGAGAGCATGGGAAATCTGTCCCTAAAGGGACTACAGTGGTGATGCCCTCTGCCACCTTGCCCTTCTCCACTTGCAGTAGTTGGGAGAGCTAGCTCTGAGGTCATGAGGTCAACAGTCAGTGGGAGAACTGTTCCTGCCCCTCACTGGTAGGAGATTAGGCCACTCACTGTGCCTAGCCAACACAGCGGAGCCGGCCCTGATGTCGAACGCTCTATGGAGCCAGCCTTGATGGTGTGAAAGAGGAAGAGCTAGCCCGGCCCCTCGCCAACTGTAGCACTTGGGACAAAGGCCTCTACAATTTGACTGGGCAGCACAGTGGAGCTGGCTCTGGAAGTCTGAGTGTAGGTGAGCTACCCCAAAGGCATGAGAGCAGCCTTGAACCTGGGAAAGGAAATCAGCTATACAGATAGACGATAGTTAAACATTTTCATTCAGAAATTACATATAATAAAAAATAATAGAAACTAACTCAGCAGGGAGGAAAAGATAAGAACCATCCCACGAACATCATCCAACGCTTGTCATTCTCAGGACAAATTGTCAATCGACAGTGTTTTTACTTCATAAGGTGACCATCTTCTGATTAGGAATTCTGTCACATTGTAGCAAACACAGATGACCCTTTTCTGATGTAAAGTGATATAATAGTTATGAAGAAAAGTTATAAATATTTATGATTCAATAATGTAAAAATATTAATAGTACTATTAGTTACAAAAACAAATAGCTAATATAGAACTGATTGTATAAAATATATATTAAGAAGACTAAAATGTTAAAACGTTATGAACAGTTGTCCAAAGATGATGAATTTTTTTCTCATTTATACAGGACCTAAGCTATCAATAATGAACAGGGTTGATTTTTTAATGTTAGTGAAAACCAAACCAATTGTTTAAAAGTTATAGTCATAAATATAATAAGACATTACAGGGAATATCTCCAGATTACTGGGATTGTGGGTTTTGTTCTTTGTAGTTTCTTATTGTCCAGTAGCAAGGAGACATAGTTTTGAGAAAAGAAAGAAAACAATAAAAAAATGCATTCTGAAAGCAAATGTCACTTTGGAGCATACAAATGCAACAAATGATTCAGAGCATTTTGTCTTGCTTCCCTAATCCTCTGCCACCCAACTCTTTTATCTTAAAATAATAGAGCATTATCAGGTTTTGCCTTGTAAAAAGTCATCTTTGCAGCACTGGAAGCCATAAACAGCAGGAAGTCACAACCTCTGAGCTGTATATTTGCAAAATGTATGAAGTCAGGAGTCAGCGTGGGCAATGTTTCCCTAAGACAGAAGAACGTGCTTAGGCAGAATGCCTTGCCAGTGAGCCATAAATGTCAACGAAGTCAAAAGGAATCTGCAGGTCCTCTGAAGGCAGAGTGTTCAGCTTCCAGAAGCCAATGTAAGAGAGCTCAAAAGATTCTAGAAATTGAATTTTCTATAGAATGTCCCCGTTTTCAAATAGTGAGATAGACTTTGTGTGGCACAGGAAGATAGTTAGATCCTGGAATAACAGTGAGATTTTACTTATACCAACAAGTGACAAGCAGAGAACCAAGAGGAAGAGGACAGGATGGGAGAGATGGGGAAAGAGGGAAGAAGAAGAGAGGGAGAGAGGAAAGGAGAGAGAAATGAAGGGAGGATGGAAGAAAGGAAAGAGGGAGGGGAGAAGGGACAGAAGGAGGGAGGAGAAAGGAAAGAAAGAAAGAGGGAGGAAGGGAGGGAGATCTGCTACTCTCCACCTCAATTTGGCCACCTTAATCTGGGGCTGCCTCTCTCACCCGATGTTGAATTGTTCAGCTAGCCTGTCTCAACACTCCCCTCATTCATTTCACTAACTCTATGGAAAGTCAAACTGACTGTTTAAATGCACACATAAGAACATGCCTGGATTCCTGTGCTTCCCGCCCCCCGCCCCGGGATCCATTTCTTAAAAATTTCACCACAGTAGTGCCACCACTGGGATCAATTTTCTGACATGTGACCCTTTGGAGATCACACTCAGATTGTAGCAGCTGTCCGGTTGTGCAAGCAGAGTATTGTATATACACTAAATACATCTAAGAAAAAAAACCCTTTGTGAATGAATGAATGAGTGAATGAGTAAATGAATTCATTTTCATGGCTTGTCTCTGCACAGGTCACACTCAGGAGGTTGAGGCAGGAGGATCCCAAGTTCTATACCAGCCATCTGAAGGATGCTCCACAAATACAGTCTGTGCTCCTCTTCATGGCCCAGGATTCCCGCATGGGTGTGGCTGCCTTCTTCATGCCCTCACCAGACACCTCTGCTTTAGCTGCTTCACTGCAGACACACTGGCATCCATGCTTCCTCTACTGTCCCAAGCATTTTCTTTCCAGAGCCTTCTAACAGCTGTGGGCTGTGCCCAGGAGAAGTGGCCCTCTCGCCTCACGGTGTCAACTGATTGTCAGCTCCTTTGAACGGCCTGTCAGTTTAAGCCACTCTCCTCCCGACTGTGCTCCTTCTACTCTCCAGCATTGCCCTTAGACAATTTCTTTACAGCACTTGTCACAATTTATAATTGTGTGCCTGTGTCTTTGTTCATTTATTTATGTCTCCAGTAGGAAGTACAGGATTCATATCTGGTTAACTCACCTTTGTATGACTTCTGAATGTAGCTGTAGAATAATAATGACCAGCACTTAGTAGGTACTAAGAAAAATAACTCAGGAGCTGGAGAGATGGCTCAGAGGTTAAGAACACTGGCTGCTCTTCCAGAGGTCCTGAGCAATTCCCAGCAACCACATGGTGGCTCACAACCATCTGCAATGAGATCTGGTGCCCTGTTCTGGTTGTGCAAGCAGAGTATTGTATACATAATAAATAAATCTAAGAAAAAAAAGAAAAAACCCTTTGTGAATGAATGAATGAATGAATGAGTAAATGAATTCAGTTTCATGGCTTGTCTTTGCACAGGTCACTTAGCTGCCTAAGACTCTGTTGCTTTATGGGTACATTGAGAAAGAAATTTCCCCTTTTAGGGATAAGTGCCTGTAGATGCCCTGCAGAGTGGCTGACACAGTGTGAGGCTTCTCACAGACTGAAGCAATTGTTTTCATGATGAAGTAAATTATGAGCTGGAAAGTTTCTGCATCTTAGAGTTTACTCTTGTAATGGGTGATGCTGAGAAGGGCACAGTTCTGGGCCTGTAACCGATGCTGGATAAATGTCAGGTCAGTGAACAGTGTAGCTAGAAACTCGTCAAGTCTAACCTTTAAAAACATTCCTCATGTACACTGTTGATAGTTTTAAAGATACAACAAAATTTAAGTGTCAATTAACAAGGTCGGTAAGTTAACTCTGGCACATCCATACCCTCCATAGATTGGATATAAAATGGATTGATTGGTCAGATCTGTAGGTGAAATCACCACAGGAAACCATGACAGCTGCTACAATCTGAGTGTGATCTCCAAAGGGCCACATGTCAGAAAATTGATCCCAGTGGTGGCACTACGGTGGTGAAACCTTTAAGAAATGAATCTCTGGGGATGTGGAGGGAGGGCAGTGAGGACATTGGAATAGAGCTCTCAGAAGATTGATGCTGGTCTCAAGGCATTGATGAGGTCTCACAAAAATGGGCCATCAAACAAGTTTGGTTATCCTAACTGTTTTTCTCCTCCCCTTCCTCCTCTTCCTCTTCTTCCACTCCATCACTGTGATGCTGTCAACCATTAAGCCATATACCAGCATCATGTCCTTCACCCTGTATGCGCTAAGGATTAGAGTATCAACACGGTGTGCTCCCTACAGGCCTGAGAAGTACCTTACAAACAACAAACAGAACATAAACAAACAACGAAGAACATAAAGAAACAACTAAGGAAAACATAACATACACTTTCATGCATGTGTATGTGCGCACACACATACATGCACAGAGCATAAATAAATGATATAAAGAGACATAAAAATATATTTTAGGAGTATCAATGCTTGCCTAAGTGTTTGAAAAAGGCCTCATGGAAGAATAGCCAT